CCGAACTTGCGACAAGCAAAAACACATTACGGGAAACGCCCGCCCATCATCACTCTCATTGCGTATAGAAACTTAAAACTAAGTGTGGACCAATACACGTAAAGGAAGAATGTGTTATGAATGGAGGTTGTCGCTTTACTGTTTGCGCGGTGCAAAGTCTGCCCAATGGTTTCCGATGGGGGGGAAGGATCCAGCCAAAGTGACATGTGGGGTCACAATGCCCAGAACCATCAACACGACAGGTCAACAACGCCCTCGAGCATCCAGAAGCATCAACACCACAGGTAAACAATGCCTGGGTCCAATACCAACATTGCACAGAAGCATCAACGTCGGCAACAACGCCCCCGGCCTGGAAGCTGAGTTTTCAGGAGGGTGGAGAGGGAGGGCGCATGGCAGCTGATGTTTTTGAGTGCAGGCAGAGTCGGCGTAATAGACTCCAATCTACCTACACTGCCTATACCCCGGCCTAGAATATTGGTAGGTCCAGGGTCTTTGCAGGAAGCATCAACGCCACAGGTCAACAATGCCCAGAAGCGTCCATGGCCACAGGTCAACAGAAGCATCCGGTCAACAATACCCAGCGCAGGCTGCGGTATGAAAACCCCCATTCATTTCCAAACCCCCATTCACATGAAAATTCCTTTCTTGCAACCTTCCCCAAAGGAAGTCGAAATCACGAAGTTCCGAACTGTATGCAGAGCGTTTGATCTCATCGATGGTCCTTTCAAGCTTTCGAACATTCCTCAACCGATGGAACAACCATTCACCTAACATTCTCTGATTCGGCCAGTCGGCAGGGTCAATGGAGTTCAGGGTTTTCATGACTGTACCACTAAACTCCTGGAGATCCTTCAACGAAAAACCATTGAGTTCCACCTGAAAGATGCTTTGCGATGTGAGCAAAGAACCACGAGTACGATCGAGATCGAAGTGTCGAGCGATCATGTACAAAATCATCCTACCCCGAGGGACTGTGGACTGACGTGTGCAACGCTCAACGTAACCTTGTACCTTGAACAACAGCTCAGGGCTTGACCGCACGTTCTTGAGAAGCTCAGACGCAAGCCACCTATCAAACCTTGGGATCAGGCCTGATGAACTCTGGCGTTCTTTCTCCTGACCTACCTCAAAAGCCGTTGCAGCCCACTTGAAAAGGTATTCATTTGACGAAATGTCCAAGCGGCCAAGCATCAAAAAGAAGTTTGTCTTCCAAGCTCGAAAGTCTGCAGCATTCTGGGGAACCACTTCCAGTTTGGTGTGCAACAATGCTCTGGAATTAACAATCTCCCTTTCTGATGCACGCGAAGGCGATTCCGAAATCAACTCTTCTTCATCGTCATCTGACCCTTCACCCCCCTGATCGATTGGATCGGGCGGACCTCCGGGAAAGCCTTTGCCAACACGAAGTCCGCGAGAAGGTCCTGCAGGAGACGAAGATGAATGGACAACTATGTCATGCGAACGATCGAACAAAGGTCGAGGCTCACGACTTGGATCCGTGCTATTTCGGCTTGATTCAAGTGTCAACATTCTGGAACTGAGTGACTGAACAGCTTCCACGATTGACTCCAACATTCTGTTGCCTCCTTCGTTGTCCTTGGGCAAGGATGCATCAGGCACAGGCTTCGGCGCAAAAGCAGGCGCAGGCGACTGGATGACCGCGGCGCTAGAAGCAGCCAGTCGGGCCTCCAGAGACGAGATACGATCTTGTCGAGACGAACACTCATGGCAAAGACGCTGGATTTCTGAATCTTTATGGCCTATCAGGTTGAGGGACTTTTGGTTGAGGTCGGACAAACGGTCGATCTCATCTTTCGCTTTGCGAAGTTGACCCTCAAACATTGACTGGTTGAATTTGATCTGGTTCTCAAGGGTTTGCTTTACCTCTTGGACCGCTTCATGCAAGCTGGTGATCATGACATCTTTCTCAACATGACCGGATTGGAGCACCTCATTTTGGCTACGGAGTTCTTCAACCAGGGACGTCAGGTGACCAATGTGAGCAGTGGCTTCCTGGAAGACCTGCTGGGCGACACCTTCAAAGTGCATGGCCCTGGAGTCAGCTTCCCCGATAAGTCGTTGAGACTCAGCTACAACACGACCGAACTCTGCATGATCAATACCAACATATGCCACCTGGACCGTGTTAAAAGACCGGGCGTCATGGAGGTGCAACTCTTGGGTCAGACTTGATGGATTGGGCATGACCTCATCTTCATCAGGGCTCTGGATCCTAGGCTGACCAACTGGTCTCTGGAGCAACCCACTGGACGAAGGCAAGGACCGACGATCAGCGAGAGCCGGAATCGATGGTTCAACCATGGAAGACCCTTCCGCTTGAGATTGAGGACCTTTGGGCATGTTCTTGATGACTCTACTCAAAGATCTTCTTGGAGGTTTTGATCCTCTTCGACTACCATGCGGAGTTCCTGAACCCTGAGACGAATGAGACTGAGATCGGCTCCTAACCGCAACTGCCATACCACCAACAGTAGTGTCTGAACTGACGTTCAATGATGATGACTGTTCTTCTGACATGACTTTGGATCAGTAACCACTCTTGACAACCTAAATGCACAACAATGCAACCGATCGAACGACTCGCGAACTCAAGGCAAAATGCACTTTTATACTCCTGAGGCGCTAAAGCAGCCGATCAGGGTTCGACGAACGCTCAACGGGATGCACTTCCCGGAGCAGCCTTAGGCACACGATAGGCCTGGCTTGGATCTTCGGCCAATGAGAAGGTGCGAATGAACGTCTCGGCTTTCTCAATGGCGTAGGCTGACGAACAGGACCAATCGTGGAACTGATGTGGAGCAACAAGCCCGGCCCTCGGCTTCCTCACCTGGAAAGCTACTTGGCCTGCACTCCAGAAATCGTTCACAATCTCCGGATTGTCGTCGTAGATGAATGCAAGGCCTGACGAAAGGGCCTGACAAGCTGCAAGCTTGCCTGCTGGACCACAACGCTGCTCGGTGATGAGGATGTAACGAACGGGCAAATTGGACAACTCTGTAAGATACAAAAGATTCTCCAAATTGGCCTGCGAACGCTCAATGTGCGAGCAAATGATCAACTCTGTTGTGTTCCCTGCTCGACCGGCCAAAGTTCGAAGATGGTTCAACGACTCAATGTGCCTCGGAGGAATCCCGTCTGCTGTTGGCCTTTCGGCAAAATGCCGGGAATGCCTGTCCGTGTCGAGCACCTGATGCCAATCCCACACAAGGAGATGCTGCTTGATGCGAACAAATGAACTCTTGTCAACTGAACGACACTGGCCACCTTGGACAACAAATACTTTCAAGCTGTCGTGAAATGGGGAAATCTGAACCCTACCAGTCTCCTCAAGTTCGATGGCCTCGTCCTCAATGACAACAATCGACGACGGATTCACTGCTGCTCCTCTTGAACTAGATGACTTTGAAGGCAAATCGAACGGCTGAAACGGAGGTGCCTTTGGCGGCGGATCTGATTCACTCGAAACCTCTGCTGATGCCTTTGGAGGCTCAATCAACTCTGTCGGACCGGATGGCAGCTCAGTCACCTCAGAAGACTCCACCAACGAAGATGAACTGTCTGCAACTGTACCCAACACTGGAACCTCAAAAGGCAAATCCGGAATATCGTCCTCCACCAAAATGGATGGAGCCTTGGATGGAACGACACGCTGAGACGGAACAATCACGTCTGCTTTGGGTTCTGCCGATGATGAACTCCGGACTGCAGCAGGCTTGATAATCAATGTACCCTTTGCTTTCGGCAATGACTTCTTTGGAAACTCTTCAACAGGCTTTGGAGGTGGACCAACAAAACTGAAGTCGGCTTTGACACTGCTGTTGCTTTTCCTTCCCAAAACTTGGCCGCTGCTGGCCTGATCACAACTTTCGGAGGCGATGCAACCGGTGCCGAGCTCGAAGCTTCCGTCGGCACGGCCGAAATGACCCGTCTGATCGGCACTGGCGGTGGCGGTGGGATCCGGACAGGTGATGATGGCGTCACTGACGTCGGAACTGGCGCTGAGGGCGTCTCTGCAGTCACAACAGGCTCTGAAGGCGTCTCTGAAGTTTCAACAGGCGATGCGGGCGTATCTGAAGTTCCAACTGACCAAGGGTGTACGACACCAGACCAAGGGTGGCCGATACCAGGGGTTTGAGTGGCAGCAAGGGCGCGTCGTTCAGAAAGACCTTGCAATCCACGCCACTCAACACTTGCTCGACCCTGGAACCAGGCTGACCGAGGAACAAGCCTGACCACCTCAGCCGTCACCACACTCAAGGGCCTGGCCTTTGGCAAAACCACCGCAGGCCCAGCCCCCTCCAATGCACCGTCCTCGTCAGAACCAGAACTCTCGTTGTCCCAAATGCGAGGAGTGTAGAGCGGCCCTGATTGTCCACCTGAATGGATGATAGGCACCTCTTCAACCGGAACACCAGTCTGCTCTGACACGTTCCGTGCGTAGGCCGTGCGACGACGTTTCGCAGCGGCCCCAGACCTGATCCCTCGCTCTCTCTGATGAGGACGAGGAGGGTCAGCGTCCATGCACGCGCCGAGCGGATGGATGTGAAGAATGCTGTTCCCCCAAAAGCAAAAGAACAACAATCAAACAAGCCGATACGGCTGATAACCACTAGAAGTGGAAACCAACCCAACAACAACCAAACAGTCAACACAAGTTGAGTACGCCGTGACCGCGACGAGGCGGCGGCTGCGGGCGCACCTTTTACCACTTGAGCCAAAAGTACAAGTTGTTCATGAACTGTGCATACATATGAGGTGTACTGTACACAGGAAACTTCAAGTATTATATACAGTAAAACATGTAAGCTGGCAATGAAACACAAGCAACACAGCAACATGCTTGAATCGACCAACAACCAAACAAGCAAAACGAACGAAACTAACATAACATATACATACTGTATATAAACCGATTATGACCGATTTCGCTATGACATTTTGAGGTGACATGCACCCAATCTTTTTCAGACCCACACCTTGGGCCAATGGAAGGAAAAGCTCCGCCGGTCCTCATCCAGGACCACTGGATGCCACCTGTCCAGTTGTCAAGCCATCACCTCTGAGCGGTTACGATTGCAAAAGAATGCATTTATGTATATAGATGTTTTAGTCATAGATGTTTTAGTCCCGGGGGCTAGTAGCTACAAGAACGCTACTACCGACAGGACGCAGGATAGCTCACCTTTAGGCCGGCGGGGGGAACTTCCTGGAAGAAGCGCTCGCACTGTTCATTTGGTTCCTAGAATATTTAGGGAAATTTACCCTTAGGAATCCCACGGCAGCTGCCCGTTCCCACGCATGTGGCCATGCAGAGGAAAATTCTGCCAGCAGTCGTAGTGGCAAATCTTCTCGGGACCTGAGCTTGATAGTCCAAGAGAAACCGCCGGAACAAAGCGGTCCAAGAGAAACCGCTGCTCCCCTCGCACAGATTGAGATCTCCGGACACCTCCGAAGCGTCACCTTGGTCAGAACTCCCGCATAAAAAAGACTCAACTGAATAGTCTGAGTGGTCCTAAGGAGCTAACTCACGCCATCTTCACCAGGCCGGGGCCACCTGAACCGTGCATCCAAGTCTTAATTGCAAACAGCAAAAGCTCCAAAACAAAATAAATAAAATGTTGGAAGTTATATAATATAAGATAGAAATCCCCGACGCTGCGCCAACCAACCAGTCTGTAGAAATGAAGCCCAAGCCCAAGTGGATCAAAATGGCTTATCTGTTAAAGCTGTCCCCAACAAAGGTCTGTTTATTTGCCGTGGCCAGCCTTTCGAAGGACATTCACTGGCTTCAATTGCCGTATGGCAAGTTGTAGGCTGGGCAAAAGTTGCCATGCGGCACTCGTGGCCAACATGTTGGCAGGCACGCCGACGTAGCCATTGTCTGCTTCAAAAAAATGTTAAGCCCCGAGTGTCAAATACGTTTTGGCATTTTAGCGTCTCAACCAATCATTCAAATCTGATGAGACAGCTCTCTACCTGAGTAAGGTTGACTCTCTTTATGTGCACTTCATCACCTGTGAGCCAAATCCAAGCAAACATACTTTTGCACCGTCAACCGCTGCAGCTATCAACTTGCTTCGGGGCCTTATCTAGAATATCATGACTTGCTGTTTGAGCATCTTGTTGGTTTGTCATAAGTCTTCCACAACAAAAGGATAGTGGCCCAATGTAGCTTCTGTGGATTGATGAACATCGTGTCCAGTGGCAGCATATCAGCTGCTGAAAGGCTCCCCATGCTTTGGATGAGACAAATGTTTGATGAGCAAAGGAACCCTTTGCCCCAATTGCATAACAACAGCTCTGCAGGATATGTCGGAACGATTCGGAACGCGATGATTCGAGTCGCGAACTGAAACATGGGTGAACAGCCTCGGAGAATCTAGGCCACTTACAGTAAATATTTTTGCAAATTCATGCACCCCAGAAATACAAAATGTGATAATATGTTGTCCCCCTGAACCTGGTCCGATGGTGGTCAAATCTGGGATGTGTGCACATTTCTCTGAAAGAAAATTGGTTACGGTTTTTTAAAAAAAAAAGCAAGCCCTGACAAAGCTGCATCACAAGCTTAAGCAGGACTCTGGCTCACTCGGGCAGTCCTTTCAGCTCAGGATCAAGGAAAGACAGCTCAAGGATGCTCAGCATCTTGTGTCGATCAACAATGATAATCATGATGGTCGACTGGCCAGCTCACACATCGAGCTCAATGCCCATCAGGGGCTTACCAATGGCTGCATCCTTAGGAGGGTAAATCAGTTGAAATGGGCATGTGTAGTAGTGTGGCATTATGAGCCGTATGAATCAAACAAGTATGCAATTTCTACATAGGTCGACAGTATATGACAGTATACTTTCCTGCGATGTCACCGTTTTTGAACTCTTCTGAGGGCCGATGCTGGATGATTTAGCTGTTTGTCAACTTCCTCGCGATTGGGCTTTCTCTGCCAATTGCACACGGCTCTTTTGATTCTTGGCAACATCTCTGAAAGACTCGCTGTGATTGACCATGCAGCCTCGCTGTCGTGCGTCTCAGAGAGGCACTTGCAGCAAGTGATGCAACCTGGCAGCTCGACATCGGTGCGGAGTGAACACGCGATCTTTACTGATCTATTGTAGTGCACACTTGTCACACTTGTCATGTTACCATACGCGTGCAGTTCCTTGTAGTGTACCGCTCAAAAAGCTGTGCAATCTTTGCCATACATCATAATGAACCATGCAAGCAACTCAAGGGACGCTTGCTGGAGAAAAGGACATTGGGTTGTATTAGAAATGCTGCTGCCAGCATGCCTCTGCACCCTGCAACCGCCAACATGCAAGTGCTTGCGCGGGCCCTTTTTGAGCGAAACGTTTGAGCCCCTTTCCTCATCATGGCGCATCATGTTCTCTTGAATTACGGTAGTGCATTCTGAGCCCACAAAGCAACAAGTGAAACATCCAAATGTCCATCCTGTCAGAGCCACGACCTGATCTTGCTTCAAGCATTCAAACATCGGGCATGGAAAAGTCGTACCCAAGTTCCGCTTCCAGCCCATGCAATAGCAAGTCGGCCTCCTTCTCTTCGGTGGCTGACTCGGCGCAAATTGAAAGACCCTTCAATTGGCTTTGGACCATGTTAGAGGTTCGCTGGGCGTGCTTTTCTTTGGCTTCCTTCAGAAGGAAGGCGCTGCAAATTCCGTAAGTCGGAGATTCGAAGCCCCTGCCTTCAGCACGAGCAAGCACCTCCATCATGCGTCGAGTTTGGTCACATTCCATGAGGCTTCGCCAGACATCATAGCGCCACCGGCCGGCACCATCTAGGAATTCAGTGTATTTCTCCTCTGCCTGCAGCTTCAATTGCGACTCAGTCAGGCCATGGCCTGTGAGCGAGCTCCACTCCTTCCTCTTCCTGACAACTTCACTTTCATGTTGCTTCACTCTGTCTTCCTGAATAGGCCTCCAGAAAGGGTTCGCCACAGCAGACTGTACCAAAGGGGATTGTCGCCTTCGTTGCCACCTTCGGCGAGCAAAAGCCTGCAAACGCCGAGCGGCCTCCTGTTGCTGCTGTTCACCAATGAGCTTCACAAGCTTCTTCTTGGCACGCACAGAGCGCCATAGCGTCTGCACGCGAGTGGCAGCTTCAGCATCACGTGCCTCCGAGTAGCGCCCTACGAGCCGGTGTCCATAGGGCATGGCCAAGCGAGCCTTCATCTCTTCCACAGCCGCCTCCGTTGAATAAACACGTTGGGCCACCCGGCGCCGCTCCTCCAAATACTTTCTCCTTCGCCGGGCACGGTTTATGATGATCATGAAGCGCCGGCGACGTGCCTGAGCACGATACCAGCGCTGCACCCGCACCACCGCTTCTTCTGTATTCGGCGGCGGTCGCGGAGGTGGTGGTAATGGCACCTCTGGCGGAGGGCTTGGAGGCTCCATTGTCAAGGCTCCTATCTGTTTTTGTGCATTGCACGGGATCAAATGCCTTGTGCTCGCCAATGTCCACGTTGCCTGATGCTGTGCGGCTACCTTGCTGTTTAAAGTTAACCTCTTCATGTTTGCTTCTGAAGGGTGTCATGATGCTTCTACTGACAGCCGAATGCACATGGACTGTGATCTATGAAAGTCACAGGTCTTGACGCGTGACCCCTGGTCCCAAGGTAAGTTCAACCTCTTCCAAGGCAGAATTTGCTTACCCAAACACCATGCGCAGCACACACATAAATGAGGGCAGCAGACTTCAATCTGGCATTTCTTGTTGGGTATCTATGGCAATATATTGTTGTGGGTATTCTTGCTCCACTTGCTATATAATTGAAACATTGGTATTATTATTGAGTCTCTAATCTAATGTGCTATATTTTGTCCGGGCTCTCTCTTTCCGCTGACAATAATTGAAAGCGTGTGTCTTAGTTCCTTCTCAGTATTCTTCTAAAAGATCATTGCATATTGCTTGTCAAATTCCTTGTCAATTTACGGGTCCATTGGAATTGCTAGCCCACATCTGCATAATGTCCTTTTGAATTCCTTTGATATTCCTGTTCAATGCTCTTTAAACGGAAAAGTTGAAGAAATCAACAATCGTTGCAGGATGTGAAATCAAAAAACTGTGTTTTCTCTCTAAGCATTGAAGCATGGATGGCATGTGATTGGTTGATTGGTTGGGGTACATCTCACAAGGCCAAAGGAAAAATGGAGAGAAGCTCTCTTGCAAGTGGCCTTGACCCCAACCCTGATTCCATCAAACAAGTGGCAACTAAGAAGCAGCCAAAAGCCCAAAGGCAAGAAGCCACAGAATCAGAAGCCACAGGCCAAAAGCCCGCCCAAATTGCATGTTGCAAAATCATACCAATAATTGGAGTGTGTAATATAAGACCTTTGACATATCTAATCTCTCAATCTCTCATGCTTTTGTTTTGCAAGGGTGTCGCCAGGCTGCAACCAATTGAAGCAATCTAAATGCGACCTGACACATTCCTGAACAAAGAAATCACCATTCATTCAAAGGATAGCTCTGGTTTTAGGTCAATATGATCGCACGGCGCAGCGAAGCTGCGAAGCAACCGCAATAAACGGACCCCCTCCACAGCTTTGGAATCGAAGTTGTACTGCACCACAGCTAGTATCTTAGCAGCAGCTATAAACCTCCGTCTTACAGCTCCTGCTGGCACTCACTGGTGCTTTTTGTCACTGTTCCGCATGCGTCGATTGCCACGGATTTGAAGCAGCATTCTGCTGCCAAGCGGTCGACCTGCAAATTGTTCAAAAAGCAAATCACCGAAAAGCAGCTCCGACCTCAACTGTCCTCGACCGTCCTGCTCTCACAATGACAAACTAACCCAAGACCAATGAATTATATACCGTAGATTATATATATATAATCATCAACAATCAGAAAAACCGGCCTCTGCGAAAACGGTTTGCTCAGAATGGCTTTGGCTCCTTCCTGGGCATGAGGTATCTCAGCGCTTTTGATCACCACTCGTCACTGGGTAAGCAAACCAAAATCTGCCGACGATGCCCTCTCACCTGCTAAGTCACTACAGTAGGTCGAAACTTCATCCCGCATGGGTCCGTTGAATCAAGGACTACGACCTATGCAATAAGCTTCGCCTTGACAGCGCGGGATCCTTTCCTTCCCTCCCTCAGTTAAACTGCCAAATTCACCCAAGCACCCAGCCAGCCTGGCCTTTCTTCCAAAAGCTCGTCCTCCAACTGCAAGGACTCCTGCAATTGGGGAGTGGAGCACGTGCAATGTTCCATGGTGGTCCGTCGTATGAACATCGACTGCATATTGAGGGAGCATATGGTTCGTGCACCGCCGTATGCATGTGGGTTGGGGGGTTCCCTATTATATAACATACAATACACAACCACGTAAAACTCTACTAGGTATGCTGCTTCCAGGGCCCCTTCAGTGGCACAATCCTTCCAATAACAGTGAGCGCCTCAAATGCTGAGACCTTGCGCTTCTTTCGCTTCACTCTTTTCTGTTCCTGAAGCCGATGCACTTGCAATGCAATGGCCAGGTCTATGGCTCCTGCAAGTTCGTGTGCCACAACCTGGGCGGCTGGCCCGCTTGGAAACAGCTTCCTCGCTCCAGTTTGGATCCACCCTCGGATCAGGCAGGCTAAACTGCCTGCTGGCTACACAAGGGGTGCTTGGTCAAGAAAGGCCAAAATGTGCAGAACTTGGGTACTGACTTCAATGCTTTCTTCAACTTCCTCTTCTCGTCTTCCTCCTTTTGTCTGGCCGACTCCTGGAGACCACAGACTGGGTTTCAGCTTGTGAACTGGAGGTTGCAGCAAACAGTTCTTGGATTCTATGATATATTGGGTGTGTTCAAGAAAAGTGTGTCCTTGAACGACCAATACGTGAAAGCGCCCCAGCTTCCAATCACAACCTGCAGCTGCAACATGTTCAAGAGCTGGAGACAACAAAGCTTCAGCAAGACAGCTCTGAGCGGCCAGCAACTGGCATGATGAGCAGGAACTTTCCAACCTGCAGGCTGAGCTAGCTGCTATATAGCTACAGCTAATTGAGTGCACAGGAGGCAACGTCAAAATGATGCGGAGTCATTCTTGTTGGACTTTAACCCCACCTTCCTCATGCAGCACACATGGGTCCCGCTGACTTAACTCAACAATTACTTGGCCATTGATTGGAACTTTGCCTCTGCAAAACTGAGGCCGAAGCGAGGAAGTCAGCCCAATCTGGAAGCTTTGGCAGGACCTTGGCAACGCAAACTCTTCTTGCAAGCGCCATTCCAGTTGGGTGGCTGCAGCCCCACTGTCCAACAACTTTTGTACTCAGCTACGAGCTTCACTGATGACTTGCTGTTCTCTGACCTGCTCCGCAGCCTGTGGGCAAAAGGTTCAGTCTTGAGATCGGGGGCTAGAAGCTGTCCGCCAATCAGAATCTGAAGAGCACACCCTGAGCAAAAAAAGTAACATAGTAGGTAGTGGATGGTAGTGGATATGTTCATAAAGGGACTTTACAAATTCCATGGCACTTCGGAAAAGGATGAAAAGGACGGAATTTATCCCACCTCCAGAAGCTCGTCGCCTGTGGGAATCTCCCCATCTTGGAGAGCAAAGCGGCCCAGCCTGCCTGGCAACGACGCTTCCTGGGCTCAGGGAGCCTCTCCCAAACTCAATTTCTTGGTCTCTATCTCGGCTTCTGATGGCCTGGGATGGTAGGTCCCAGCACATCTGTACAGAAGCATCTGCTAGTCTTCTGAATCTTTTCCCTTCAAGATTCCAAGTGTGCCAGGCACACTTGGGCGGCTCAATATCTGCAGGCCCGCAAAGGCCTGGCGATGCACACCCCGCCCAATCTGTCAGTTCCATTTCACCTAGCCAAACGTGGGAATTCCATGTTCGAGAAATCAAGTACAAAGACCAAAACTTGAGAGAGGAGGGGGTGAACGAAAGGTAGCAGGCAATCACAAGTAACTCTGCTAGAAGTCCATGACGGCGTGAACCGGCGCAGGGGGGATTTGATCCAGGGGGGGGGCCTACAGGACCAAATTCAATGCACAATCCCAACTCCTGATTGTAATACATTTGTGAAAGTTGAGTTTGCTCTTCGGTGTTGGGCAGGCGGAGGAACATGGTTGTTCATGTTCGCTTGGATCAAGGCCTGAAGCCATTTCGTGCTGCGCCTTAGGTGAAAACGGCGCGCTGGCAGACGCTCTTGCTAGTGCGTCTACAGTGGCACCGGAGCCTATCTCGATCTGGGCATTGCACTCCGCCGTTGCTTGCTTTGCTTCGCCTCGCTTTTGCCTCTTTTCTCCTCGTCTTCGTGGCCTTCAAGCTAAGCTTCTGGGCTGCTCCACACGACCTCGAGCCAGACGCTCTGGACTTCGTGGTCGGTGCCAACCTTTTGAGAATAACTAGATTCTCTTGTTTGTGGACACCTTTTTCTTGAACCACTTCACTGTGCCCTTGCCGCCGAGCAGTGCCTTGTTGGAGTGACCTTTGAGGGTACATAGACCCACCTTTTGCTTTGGGCCCTACCATCGTTGCGCAACTTCACTTTCGGTCTAAGACCACCTTTTCTTTGGAGAGCTTCAGAACTTGCGGAGCTCCTTGAACACCTTGCAGCAGCCTCACTTTTGTTTTTGGCCAATTTGGCCGTGAAGATGACTTCAGCAGAAGAATCCGGCACCAGCTCTTGGTACCGGGTGCCGACGTGGTCGGGCAACCCGGCGGAATGGCGACAGTTCCGCCGGGAGATGAACTGGTGGATGGCTTCGCTGGATGAAGAATCCTGCAAGAAGTTCAATGTTGCCGCCCGATGGGCACTTAGACAATATGGTGTGGTCAGGGCTCGTTGTGAAGAATTCGATCCCCAGGATCTTGAAGGGACCAAGGAAGAAGCCATGACCGATCCTGACACCGGCGACAAAGTGATTCGGGTTGCTGCAGACCCTTTTGCAGGCATCAAGAAACTCATGACTGCCTTGGAGGCCACGGTTGGGAAGACAGCTTTGGATAGAAAGGGAGAACTCCGATCCCTTTACTATCAAGAAATCAAACGCAGCCCTGGAGAGAGAATCTCAGCATTTTGCACGAGATTCCGGACCCTTGCAGCTGAGCTCAAGCGGGAAGGCATAGTGATGCCGGAGGAGGAGTTAGGCTGGATGTTGAAAGAACGTTTGGGACTGGATGCAATCAGGAAGCAGTTGCTGGAGACAGCATTGGCAGGTCGGGAGAACTATGATGTGGTCGAATCAGAATGCCTTCGTCTGTTTCGAGATTTGCACTCCTCCGACCCTTTGAACAAGAGCAGACCTTTTGATAAGGCACCACTACTCCAGCGTTTCCTACAGTCCCATGACAGACACAGCTCCTCTTCGTCCTACAGGCCTTCGACTACAGCCAGCTCGACGGCTCCCTCTTCTCGCTCCTTCCGGACTCAGAGCTCTGGTTCCAGCCGGCCACCTTTCAAGCGTTTTGGCCAGCAGCCTCAACCTCGACAAGCCTTGATTGCCGAGGCCCCTGAAGAGGAAGGCCAGATGGAGGCGGAAGATGAAGAGCTGATTCCAGACGATGATGGTCAGGGTTACTCTCCTGAGAACCTGACGATCGAAGAAGTCCTCCAGACCGAAGCTGAGCTTCTTGCCCAAGAGCTGCAGGAGCTCGAGACTGAAGGTTGCGACCCTCGAGTGCTTGAAGATTTGGAGAGCGGCATGGAACAGGCCGCAGAGAGTCTGTTGACAATGCGTGAAGCACGCACCAAAATAGCTGAGGTCAAGAAAGACCGTGGATATGGAAAGCCTGGCCAACCGGCTCCTCGTTCGACGAAGCCCCATGGCAATCAAGTCCCTCGCCAAAAGAGCACTACAAAGTGCTTCGATTGTGGTGAGATGGGACACTGGGCTGGTGATGCAGGCTGCAAGGCCCCTGGTGCTGGCCTGGCTCGACCCAAAGGAAAGCCTAAGAGCCAGATGACGAAGCAGGTCCGTGTCACCGAGACCCTGAACACTGAACATGTGGCTCCTGAAGAACCTGATGACATGGGCCACGAGGTCATGACAGTGGCCGCCGGCGATTCATGGGATCGCCCATTGTTCGAAGTCCTCATGCAGCACCATACCGACCCCAAGAACACTCCACGTCTCGCACAAGACAAAAGATTCGTTGGAGCTTTGGATAGTGCTTGCAATAGAACATGTGCAGGTTCCTCATGGTTGGCCTTCTACCTCCAAGCCCTCGAACGTGCTCCTTCCTATATCCAGAACCTCATCATCACCACCCCCGAGAATGAGTTGTTCAGGTTTGGAAATGGTGGTACCCAAAGAAGCACCGTGAGGTACAGACTCCCTATGGCCCTGGGTTCGACTTTGGTTTTGGTGTGGGTGTCAATAGTGCCAGTGCCATCGTTGGGACTCCTTTTGGGAAGAGACTTTTTGAGCGCTATCGGTGCGGTCCTTTCGTTCGGCCGCAAGCTACTGAGAGCTGACTTGGTGGGTGGCGAACTTTTGGAGTTGGGTCAGCTGGCCGCAGGCCACTTCGCCCTTCCACTCCAGCCACGCCAATGGCCTCGTCCGGACTCCCAACGCTGGCGGAAACTTGGACAAGACGGCATAGTTGAACTTCAGTTGAACAGTTTTGATTTTTGGAAGAAACAGTTGCAATTGAAGATGAGTCATTTTGAAGTGCCTTTTGAGTCAACCTCCGAAGCACCGCATGAGCACCTTGTGACAGAGCATGCGATCCTTGCTGCGACATCGGCCGGGGCTCAAGCTATGAAGGTGGCTCAAACACGTCCTTCAGCCCCGACGACATCCTCTTCGACGACCTTTCGAGACCTCGCAGGATCTGTGGATCGTAATGGAAGCGGCCCAGCACTTCGACCTGACCGAGAACGACTACACGAAGGTGGTGCTGCGCTGGCGGCGAATGCTTCTCCGCCTTCGCGCAACGGCCGCTTGGCACGCACATGGCTTGCTCTTATGGCTGTTGCCTCGTCCGCAGCTGCGGTACGCGCCCTTTCCGTACCCCAGCATCAGCCATACCAGACATTGGCAAGAACAAGCCGAATCTATGACCCTCCAGAAGCCAAAGGCATTGATGGTCAAGCACTGGCAGCGAGCTCGAACCCAAGAACCGTCAGTGTACACGACCAAGAACCTCCTGGACTTGGGACAATTCAGGAACCGTGCTGGCCTCAACTTCGCCTTCATGGAGGACAACATGTTGCAAGGAATGCTTGCGGCACGCGCCAGCAAAGGCCTGACGGCCCAATTGAAGCGGGATGCCATTCAGGAAGCCCAACTCGAAGCCGAGGCCGCTACCAAGCGTGGAGAGAAGCACGGCATGGTGCGCTCCCTCATCGGCCCAAAGGGAGGCCTGCCAACGTTGAAGGCAGACCTGGTGAAACTGGCTTCACTCCTGAACATCCCCGTCCAGACTGGAATGACTGTGGAAGATCTCAAGAAAGCTTGCCGCCCCTTGGTTGCCGAGATCGCTCAAAAGCCAACTCCCTCGAAGGCAAGTGGATCTACCAGTTCAACGGAAAGACATGTCCCCGAGACGTCAATGGCGAGACCTTCTCAAGCGCCCGAGACAATTGGCGCAAAGGCCAAGGCATCTCATGGAGTGACCGCTCAAGAGCTACAGGAAGTCCTCACCATGCAGGACCACAAGTTCCAAGGGATGCTGAACCAAGTGCTCCAGAGCATTTCGACCCTGCACCAAGCATCGCACCTGCCAGGACCTATGACTTCCGGTCCGATGGAAACCGAAGCAACCATGGACTTCGGCTGGACCCAAGACGAGATTCAACAGATGAACCGCGACTACTACCAGGACGACTTGGAGTGGCGCCAGGCCAATGGAATTCCTCCTCGCGACCAGTGAGACCGATGCTCGAGCTGGAGACGAATCCTTGGAGGATGCATCAGGCGGTGAAACCTGGTCAGGCTAAAATGATTTCGGATGCTTGGGAGCGTCATGAAAGAGACCGTCGCCTTGTGTCGCTCAGTGCCAAGGAAGTGAATGAAGTCTATGAGGAGCAGTGGCATCGAGCGATGAACCACTTCCAGAACGAGATCTTTGTCACCACCCTCACCGTTGGCGATGAGAAGTCTTTTCAGTCCCATGCCATGTCTGAGAATAGGTTGATTTCAAAGAACCCCGACCTTGTTGAGAATGACCGTTTCCCCAAGACCTTTGTCACTGAGGTCTACACAAACACGGAGCGAGTTGCGCAGACGGCTCGCAAACGAGGACATCGAGTGGGAGCCTCAATGAGCTTGGAATCAGGATGGAACTTTCTCCGTCCACTGGATCGCAAAGCTGCCAGAGCCGTCCTGAAGCGTGAAAGTCCTTTCTTTTTGGTGCTGGCATTTCCTTGTTCATTTTGGAGTGTGTTACTCAACCTCAACCCTCCGAAGAATGACACCAAGATGTATGAGGAAGCGATCACCCTCTTGCAGTTCGCCCTCCAATTGGCCAAGGACCAGAAGAGTCGTGGTTGTCACTTTGTTTTGGAGAACCCTCAATCCTCTAGAGCATGGACCCTGGAAGAGATGCAAAGAGCCTTGGAGCAACTTGAGGCCCGTTGTGTAGTCTTCCACCAATGCCGATTCCGCTTGAAGAACCAGGCGGGTGACCTACTTCGGAAAGCTACGAGGATAGCCACTTCGAGTGATGAGGTCCTTTCCCAACTGGACGGCATGAAGTGTCTTGGCAATCACCCTCATGGTCACATCATTGGGGGAAAAGCTGTTTCAGAGCCCGCTGGCCACTATCCGTGGGCCCTCGCCAAGGCCCTGGTGGTTGGAATGGAAAAGCAATTTGAAGCTGACTTCAAAAGACCACACAACATCCTTGCCATCGAAGACGGTGAGGAGGCTGAAGATGAGACCGCCCTGCCGATTGACATGAACCTGAGTGACTCTGATCAGGAGTCCACTGAAGCTGTCACTGGACCCAAGGTGTCAGCTGCTGTGAAGCAAGCTCTTCGACGCCTACATGAAAACACGGGCCACCGATCTGGCCGTCGCCTAGCCAGAGCACTGGCTATCACTGGTGCCCCTCCGGACATCATCCATGCTGCTCGTCACCTCAAATGCTCAATTTGCGACGAGCGGAAGATCCCAAAGGCCCGACGGCCCGCTACCTTGCCACTACCCAAGGATGTGGGCGACCAGGTCCATGTGGACCTCTTTGAGATTGAAGACATTGGCGAAAAGCGCTTCTATGTGATCCATGCCATTGACTATGTCTCCAGGCTGCAGTTTGCTGAAGTTTTGGAAACAAAAGGTTCGAGCATGGTGGAGCGCTTCTTCAAGACCAGGTGGCTACCCATCCTGGGAGCACCAAGAGTCCTGATAGCCGATCAGGGCAAAGAGTTCGTGTCTGCTGAGTTTGAAGAGTTCTGCAGTTCATGGAGCATCTACCTCCACCACACCGCGGTCCAAGCCCCTTGGCAGAATGGTGTATGTGAGCGCGGTGGAGCTATCCTGAAGGGCATTCTTCGTTCGTGCATCAAGGCTCATTCGGCCTTGGGAAAAGATGATGTTGAACTTTGTCTCCAGGAGGCAGTAAGCGCCTACAACTCGGACATCAACGACGCTGGTGTCTCTCCTATGCAAGCTGCCTTTGGAAAGCAACCCCGGATGCACGGAGATTGCCTTGGTGATTTTGGTCGCCGCTTGAGTGAGCATGGACTCATCGACTCCCGGCCAAGTTTGGCCAGACAAGTTGCCATGCGAGAGACTGCTCGCTTGGCGATGGTACGCCTTCATTTTTCCAAAGGCCTTCGACGAGCTGAACTAGCCCGTTCTCGAGGACCGACTGCAGAACATGGCCTATCTCCTGGAGATATCGTCTACTTCTTCAGACAAACTCGGTTCAACAACCGAACAGCTGCATCCAAGAAACGCCTCAGTCTCAAGCGATGGCATGGCCCTGCCCTCCTCGTCGCTTTGGAGGGCAATGTGAATGGATATGTGAGTTTCAGAGGACAACTGACCAAGTGCGCCATTGAGCATTTGAGACCAGCCAGCTCCCTGGAACAAGTCGCGAGTGAGGTATGGCAAGATGCCATTCAGGAAGTCATCGATGCGGCATACCATGATCGACAGATACCAACGACCTCCTCATCTACAACCACCTCGGCTGAACCCGAAGCACAGGGTGGACCGATGACGGGAGTGTCTCTACCTGTTGAACCTGTTCCTCTTTCGGCCGTACCTGAAGAAGCTCCTGCCGATCTACCACCTTTACATCCTCAAGAGTTTGTGCAAGCCCTCGGCAATGCTCAAGGTGGTCCTATCTCAAGAGGATGGTCTCGACATACTTCTTCTTTGCCAGACTTAGGTACATCTCCATTTCCTGAAGCTGTACGAGCTGCCTTTGAACAGAGACGGCAGAGCGTTTCCAGTGCCGCCCCAAGTGCTAGCGGCGAGTCACAAGCTTCCAAGAGGCCTGCTGAACTGGATGCTGAGCGCTTGCGTGAAGAAGCTCTTCAACCAGACCCTGTTGCTCCAACTCCGGCTCAACCTCCAGATGAAGTTCCTGATGAAGCTTCCGAAGCCCTGAGAGTGACTCATGAAGTGATGGAAATGGAAGCCTATGCCAATGTACATCCGCTCCGTCAGATCCAGATCATGGCGGAACAGGATCGTCTAAATCCCTTGGAAGCCAGAGTCCGAGACCATGGGACATGGCGTGGCAATTGGCCTCTTCCCTCGAGGACAGAATTCAAACGACGGCAAATGCTGAAACAACTTTGGCCCCTTGGCAATGATGATGCTGCTCAGGAAGTGCTTGCAGTGCTCACTGCTCGTAAGGAGCATGTATGGAGTCACATGTCGGACTTTGAGAAAAAGGAGTTCCGTGAAGCAGCAGCCAAAGGATGGTCAGTATGGGTTGAAAATGAAGCCATCGAACCTCTTCCAGATGCCGAAGCTGCCCGCATTAGGCAGAAGTTGAAGACAGAAGGTGAAAGCCACCGCATCTTGGTTCCTCGCTTCGTCTATGTGGACAAGAATGACGGACTGAGGACGGCAGACCGGGACCTTCCACTCAAGGCTAACGCCAGGCTGGTCGTCCCCGGATACCAAGACATTAGTGCATATGGCCTTCGCTGTGATGCTCCAACAGCGTCGAGAACTTCTCAGCATCTTTTGCTGACCTTTGCCGCCAGTATGAAGTGGAAGCTGGCAAGTGCTGACATCAAGTCGGCATTCATGAAAGGTGAAGAGTTTGGCCCCAATGAACGCATCCTCTACCTCGCCAACGTGAAGACCAGAGCACCTGATGAGCCACGCCTACCATTCTCTGAAGCAGGCTTATGCCGTGTGAAAAAGGGAGTATTTGGCTTAGCTGACAGCCCTCGTCGTTGGTATAAGAGGTTATGCAAGTCAGTACAACACCATGGTTGGCAACTTTCAGCTCTGGATTCGGCCATGTGGTTCCTGTGGGAAGGCTCCAAATTGGAAGGCATCCTCATCTCCCACGTGGATGACTTGCTACTGGCCGGAGGCCCTCGTGCGCACCACACCTTGCAATTGCTGGGTGCCGAACTTGGGTTTGGTTCCACCTCCACCGGAACCATAACCTATTGTGGAAAGAAGATTGAGCAAGCTGAAGATTTTTCAGTGAAAGTTTCCATGGAAGAGTACCATAGCAATCTTCAGCAGGTGCGCATCAACCCACTTCGAAAGAAGAATCCAGAAGCTACTTTGATGCCTGGGGAACAACGCCAGCTCAGAGCTCTCCTTGGGAGTTTACAGTGGCTGGTAGCGCAAGTTCGCTTTGACTTGCAATTTCAGTTGTCGACATTGCAGGGTGCTTCCCAGACCATCGAGACGTTGATCCGCGCCAACGCCTTAGTTAGAAAGGCAAAGCTCCACGCAGACTTCGCTCTGCACTTCAAGCCCTTGGACATGAAGAATGCTGGGATCCTCGTTGTTTCTGATGCCTCGCTTGGCAATGTGACGAAAAGCGGTAGTTCCCACGAAGCAGCCATCAAGAAGGTCTATAGTCAAGCCGCCTACTTTGTCCTCATTGCTGACGAAAACCTCATGAGCGGCAGAGAAGGCAAGTTCACAGTGTTGGACGCCCGGTCTCATAGACTGAACCGGGTATGCAGATCGACATTTGCCGCAGAGTTGCTGGGCATTGAGGAGGCGCTGGATGCCGGGCAATATTGCCGCGGCGTGCTTGGCGAAGCTTTCGGTCATCCACTCGACCGGAAGCCATTTGACCTTAGCACGGATTCCGTGCCCCTGTTGGTTGTCACCGACGCCAAGGATGCATTCGACAAATCCTGCTCAGAAACGCCGAGCTATGGCAGCCAAAAGAGTTTAGCTTTCACCATAAGCTGGATTCGTTCAATGCTGGCTCGATGCAACATGAGCATGCGTTGGACAGCAACAGAGAACATGATCGTAGACTGCGGCACTAAGGAGCTTGACCCTCAACACCTTCACAAGATCCTGAGAGATTGCAAGTGGTGTGTACAGTTTTCCTCCCAGTACGTCAAACAGACGTCCAAAAGTAAGAAGCCCATGGCTAACTCACAACAGACCGGAAGGGTGGTGAGAAGTGACATGGGAGTCCCTTTTGAAAGCTCCTCCCCGTTGTTTGGCCATGTGATGAAGCTCTCACAGAGCTCAGGTTGGCATGTTTTGAATGAAGATTTGGCCGTCAACGTGTGCCGTCAGGCTCGTTCGTACAGGACCCCAGAGCCACGCTGTTCAAGAACGACACATGCGTTTCGTTCCACTTTTGCCCGCTTTGACAGCGAACATAGTGTGATTTGGCGACAGTTGGAAGACTCTGTCGACATGCGAGAGCTCCAGAATCCTCGATCGATGCTTGAGGAGCCTGTTGCTTTGCTCGTGACCGTGTTCAGCCGTTGCCCAACCCCTCAAATGCCACAAGAGAAGGGGATGAACTGTGAAAGTTGAGTTTGCTCTTCGGTGTTGGGCAGGCGGAGGAACATGGTTGTTCATGTTCGCTTGGATCAAGGCCTGAAGCCATTTCGTGCTGCGCCTTAGGTGAAAACGGCGCGCTGGCAGACGCTCTTGCTAGTGCGTCTACAACATTTTTGCTAAAGCAAGGAGAACTCAGGTAGCTCAAGCTACCTTTCGTGACTTGCAGGTCGCTGGTCGGATTTTGTGAGTCAAAGCCTGTTCTTCACGACCTGTGGCGTGGGGTGAGGGTTGGCATTTGCTTGTGCTTGTTGGAGTGTTTCTTGTTCCTTTCCCTCAAGCGATCGTGATTGGTAAAATTTCTAGATCTGGCGGTGGGGCCTAACCCAGGCGCGGCTTGGAATCAATAGCAGACTGGCTTTCTCCTCTTTGACTTGAGTTACAGTTATTGTATCTAGGTGGAGTAGGACCTCACACACTGCATATAAGCTTCAAAGCTTTCTGAAAGCAAGTTCGGCCACGCCTCATTGCAAGACTGCCGTAGTAAAAAGAATGCAACTAGCCCAATCACGGGCTTGCACCTGCATGTGTGCTACATTGCTACATGCCTTCAGCTCATTCGGGGCTGTCTTGACAAATGTTCACAACAGGCTTCTTGTTTACGCGTTGCATCACAGCCAAATCCCACGCCTCCCCCGTGCACAGCGATGAGGCGCCATGCTCAGCTGATGTGATGTCCGAGCCAAACATGCAAAATTCCTTGACGTGCCTGTGCTCCTAGTAGCGATGCCAAGAGCCCCTAGTAGCTTCTTGCTCCTAGTAAGGCCAGGAGCCCCTAGTAGCGTCCTTGCTCCTATGTGCTTGTGTTTGGCACAGACTGTTCACACTCAGACCTACTCAATTGTTGGAAGAACCCAGATCCTGTCTCGCATGCTAATGCTCACAACATTCACCAACTGCTCACATTCAATTGTTCGAGCGAACGGCAGAACTTGCCAGCGTGACCCAGGAAGACTAAAACGCCCCCGAGCGCAAGCATGGCCTGTTCAGCGAAATTGCACTGCAAATTGAAGCCCAAGGATGCACTGTTCACTTGCTCTATGGCCCCGGCGGATGTGCAAACACATGCAACAACAAACATTATATGACGGAGTTACTCCCAGTCACATGGGGGAAGCTCAACCTGCTAAATTTGAAGCCTCCAAGTACCTCAAGCACAAACCCACAACACAATGCCAAAGCATGCAGGTCCGCCACCTGCTAAGCTCATGTCCGCAGCAATCACAACGAATGTCAATGCCCCATATCCCCCGTCGCTAGTGGGACAGGGACTGTTAGCCAAAAGTAGCACGAAGAAGTCCCACAGGGACAATCAGTCATTGTCGATCGGAAGCAATACGCGCACCCAGCCTCACTCACCATCCTGTCTGCGATAGATGAACGCATGCCAAATGCGACGATGCCAAGAAATGCAAGCACCTTGGCTAGTGAGAGAAGGCCTAAGAGACCTTGGCAACAAAAGCAACTTCACCGAGTTCCACCCGGTGCTGCAGTGATCTGCAGGGTAGTTGGGTGGCGGACGAGGGCAAAAAGCATCATCTTCACCTGCCTCTCCTGCAGACCGCGACAGCATGGCAGCAAGGTAGATGGCCCAAAAAAGGACAATGCATGACGTAAGCAGCCGAGCGACACAACAATTTGGAAGTACAAAGCATGCGGGCCTTCATGTTCTCGCATGCACAAGCACTGGCGCAGTTCAATTCCCTGCGCAGCGCGTCATCTTTGCATCAAGCTGGGGGAACCCTTCCACAACTTGAGGAACACCCTCTGAAAACCTCGGTGGAACTGTCACAAAGCTTGGCCCCAAGCCACTTCTTGCGCTGGTAGCGCTCGTAGGTCCAAAAGCGGGGGTCCTTAGGGCTGGAAGCGTAACTGACTAGGAGCAACTGGCAACATTGCAGCTGCATTGCCAAAAGCTTCAGAGTCAGCACATCCACGTGCGCTTAGCTCAACGCGTCGATGCCGCTGACCGGCACTTGGGGGAAAACTGGTCGTGAGTCGTGGGCATGTTGCATGACCTTGGCTTCGGCAAAAGAACTTCTAAGCTGCAGTCGCTGTTGGGTGAGTCTTGGATATGTATCTATCTATCTAATCTACAGTATCTATCTATCTGAATCTATCTATCTGAATCTATCTATCGATCTATCTGAATTTATATATAAATATACCCAATCTTAGGCATGCCCCAGCCAAACGAGCTCGACAAACATCCAGAAGCATCGACAACTGGATGTGCTCCGTTGCTACATGTTCTCAATACTATGACCCTATGCAAATCCGCAGGCCAACAAACTGAGCATGTTGCTAATGGCAAGGGCGGCACATCTTGTCCTCTTGCGTAAGCAAAGAGGGGGAGAAGGAGGACAAGAACAAGGCGGAACGACGTAAAAGCAGAATGCTTGAATGAATGCCCGAATGCCAGAAGATTGTGCGATCTCTCTAAGAATGCGAGGATGCTGCCCAGCAAGCAGGAGCCTAACTGCTTTGCTGCTTTGCATGTTGTGTTCGCAGTGGCTGTCCTGTCTTGGGCCTAGCCTCAGTGTCAAAGGAAACTCAACAAGGCTGTCAATGCAACGATTCACTGAGCAGTTGGGAAGAAACAGTTGCCAATGTGCTTGGAACAAAGCTTTGTCTTTCTTGAGCTGCCGCCATAGGCAAATCTTCGGGGCTGAAAGGAGCGTGCGTGCTATCCATGTGGCAGTAGCCGTCCTTTGCAAATCCAGGCGCCCCGGACAGGTGGGGAGCGCACCTGAGGTGGAGGAGGCAAATCCATCTCATCGTCACCTGACAGCTGAAAGCAGGCATGGTGCCTGAGACGCAGCTGTTATATGTTCATGAGCGGGGCAACATTGTGCAGCAACACTCATACAGCATGGGCAACGGGATGAGATGTTTGGCTTCACCTATATCACCTTCACGGGGCAAGGCTTTCGGCCGTCTGGAGTCCACATACATCACCACAAATCAACCAAACAAGAATTGAGGCTGGAGCTCAAATTCAGGATGGCACCACCGTCCAGCAACCACTCCTCAGAGTGAAGCAACTTGAATCAAACATGTGCAGCTGATCATTTGATAGCATGCAGGGAAACAGGGTGATCAGAATGTCAGGCTGCCGCTCATCTGCAAAACTCCCCAAGTCAAGGCACCGGTGGTGGCAGCTTCGGCTCCGGCGGCAGCTTCGGAAGGGCCAAATTGGCAACTGCGAAACGAGCGGGAAGTGCCCAAAGGAGAAGTATGGAGGGGGAGTTCCACGGACTTCTGAAATGAAAACTCTGGATTAAAAAGTCGACAATGTCTTGACCGCTGTGGATTTACCCAGAACCAAGTTAGCTGACAACCCCAATAGCTAGGCATCCACCAAGATCTGGCACATGTGTATTTTGCGTGCGTTGTTCTTTGCGCTGTTCCTTCACACATCGAGGACAATTTTCAAGAATTCAATATTTCAAACACAAAGTTACACAAACAAATTCAATATCCAACTAAAATGTGTCCGAAGTGTAAGTTCAAACGTTCAAGTGTATGCGCATGGCGCATATGCCTGAAGAACCACTTCAATTCAGCACAAGAACACATTCGCACTAAGGAGAGGTGTTATGCACGCAAAAAACTATAGTTGGACAAAAAATGACAAGGACATAGGCTTATACAAATGACAAGAACATTGTTTTTCACGTAAAATGAATGCAGTTGTCAGAGAACCCGTCCTTCAAGTTCTGGCAACAGGAAGGTCAGCGTTTGCGCATGCAAACGCAAAATTTGTACAAAAACATGTTTCGAATGTCGGCAGAACAAAAAGTCAGCAATGGATGTATGTACAGGCACCAACGCATGACTTACACACGAACGATGCAAGAAACGCAGCAGCCCCTTACATGTCCAAAGCAATTGTCCACCGACACCAAAACAATACTGAAATGCAATCACAACTTCAAGACAACAAGTTACAAAAACAAGTCCACGACCGGAAAACAGAACTCATGATAGGTGCTTAGATTCCTGGTTAGGTGTCACTCTTCCCTCGTTTCGCACTCAATGCTTCCTGTAAGCATCGTCAACGGCAGTTGCGGCAATTCTGCTTAACACCAGACGTGTCGAGACGCCAAACATGGCCGGGACACCACCGAAAAATGACCGAGACACCAAACATGACCCAGACACCACCAAAGCATGAGCGAGACACCACCCAAACATCACCGAGACACCACCCAAACATTACCAACACACCACCAAAACATGCCGCCGGGCTGACAACTGCGCCTGTGTTTTTGCGTTTTGTGTGTCGTCAATCTTCAACTAGTGGGTTCAAATATGCATGAAAACCCGCGCTTCGGAGCATTTGACTTCCCCAAAAGGCGCCTTGCACGTCTCAGTTCCAATGTGTTTCAACTCCAATTTGCGCTTTTCTGCCACGAAATACGCATTTTCATCAAAATGCATCCCTTAGACATGCATTATTGGGGGACTGTTCAAGGGCCTTTGGCAGCGAAACGCGGAGTTGAACTTGAGGCCGAGGGTTGGTGACGAAAGCTAGCAGGGTGGGGCGAGGCGGGTGATGTCGGCCCACTATGCCAGCACACGCCACACGTCCCAGGGAGGAAGTGAACCCGCGGCGGGGGGAGGGCGTCCTTTATACATGAGAAGTTTTCACGCGATGTGGCGCTCTCGATGATTCCAGCCCCTCACTTGCTAAAGCAAGAACAACTCCAGCTAGCTTAGCTGGCGCTAGCTCTTGTGAAAAATCCTAGTCAAGTGTAGTAGTTCTCGGACACTTTTCGGGCCCAACGAGGTTTGCAACATGTACCAAGCATCAAATCTGTGCCCATGTTTTCACACCAAACACTTGAAGATTTGCGGGTCCATTGGACGTTAACATGTGCATGGAGATGGGAGTTGCCAACTTTCCACGAGTCTATGGCGTCTACGGAACCAGTGTTCACATCCAGTGATGGTTGCGGCCCCGGTCCCTTGAC